GGAGCTGAGAAGAGAACCCAGGAGTCCTGGCCACCCCCCTGCTCTAACCACTCAACCACACTGCTCCCCCGGAGCTGAGAAGAGAACCCAGGAGTCCTGGCCACCCCCCTGCTCTAACCACTCAACCACACTGCTCCCCCAGAGCTGAGGAGGGAACCCAGGAGTCCTGGCCACCCCCCTGCTCTAACCACTCAACCACACTGCTCCCCCAGAGCTGAGGAGAGAACCCAGGCGGCCTCTAACCACTCAACCACACTGCTCCCCCAGAGCTGAGGAGAGAACCCAGGAGTCCTGGCCACCCCCCTGCTCTAACCACTCAACCACACTGCTCCCCCAGAGCTGAGGAGAGAACCCAGGAGTCCTGGCCACCCCCCTGCTCTAACCACTCAACCACACTGCTCCCCCAGAGCTGAGGAGAGAACCCAGGAGTCCTGGCCACCCCCAGCTCTAACCACTCAACCACACTGCTCCCCCAGAGCTGAGGAGAGAACCCAGGAGTCCTGGCCACCCCCCTGCTCTAACCACTCAACCACACTGCTCCCCCAGAGCTGAGGAGAGAACCCAGGAGTCCTGGCCACCCCCCTGCTCTAACCACACTGCTCCCCCCGCAGCTGAGGAGGGAACCCAGGAGTCCCGACTCCATCACTTACCATGCTGGCTCTAGAGCAGCGCTTGAACCCCAGAAATCCTGATTCCTGCCTCGCAGGCCTGCACTCACCTCTCCACTCCGGCCCGGCTGTTCGGCCTCAGGACTCTAGATGGGTGTCAGCCGGCGCTGAGCTAACCTCCCAGCGCATCGCCACGGATACAGAACTGCCTACAGCTGCTGCCCTTCTGCGTGCGCCCTGTGACTGGCCTGGTCACCTGCCCTGGCCTCTCCCTCCAGCCACCCAGGCTGCCTCTGAGGTCAGCGTCACAACCCTCAACGCAGCCAGTGGCGCTGGAACGTACGAACAGCCAGCCCGGGCCAGCCCAGCGTCCTGTCTGCCCACAGCAGAGACACAGGAGGGAGTTATGTGCCCAGGGGCAAAGGCAAAATTTGCTCTCCCCCTCCACCCGGCGAGGCCCCAAACCTGGCGCATGGCTGAGCCCAACCCTGGGGGGGAGCTTGTATCGCATCTTCCCCCGCCCCCTTCAGTTTGGGGTCAGGTCCCTGCACACACTAACCCACTGGTGGAGATGGAGGAGGGTCGGGCTGGGGGTGCAGAGGTGGGGAGGAGGCTCCAGCCAGCAATGTCGGGCAGAGGAGGAGCAGGCGAGCTGAAGGATGACAGGGGGAACAGAGGGGAACTCAATTGGCACCCCGCTAGTGTGGCACCAAGGGGCAACTGCCCCCCGGACCCCTTGCTACGCCACTGGCCAACAGTGGCCAATGCCGGATGCCCCAGAGGGAGGGAACACAACAGGGTTCTCTCCTGTCACCCGGTTGTGGTGGAAAGCCATCGCAGCAAACGGCAAGGCCTGTCTGTGGCGAGCTCCTGTCCCTCTTCGCAGAGAAGGGGAAGCAGCCGAGGGGCCCATGGCCCATTTTCCATTGACACTTCGTGGACCTTGACTAAGTGGATGTGGCCCAAGGAAATTTTGCTTTTCTTCCTTTTTGCAAAGCCAAATCACTCCCCACTTTTGGCACGAGTCACAATGGACCACGGGAGGAGAAGCTGCCATTTGCCAACCTGGCTGTGTGGAAACCGTGTTCCCCAGGCTGTAGCTGGCAGCTTCCACAGGCTTGTGCATGTGAGCCCTAAAATCCACGGGGGCTTTTCCCCGTGTTAACACCAAGCGGCTGCGGGCGCCTTGGCCACACCCAGACAGCGACACGGCAGCACTTCCACAGCACCTGCGTGACACCGAGACACGCAACAGTCACTGGCTGGGTTCTTTGCAATGTGGCCCGCCGCAGGCGCAGCTGAGCACTTGGAGAACGGGGCGCCTCCCACTTTCCCGGATGCCATAAACGATGCCGGCCAGTCACCTTTGCTGGTGGAACAACCGAGACGCGGGCGTGTTTGCCAGGAACTTAGCTAATGCTCAGAGTCCCACTGCTGCCTGTTCTCAGAAATCCAGCCCTGGGTTTGTTTTTGAACTGTGTGACCCCGGGTTCTCGTGTTACGTGAAGAGGTAAAACCACCCTGCCTCATTCACTGTCTCCACACTGGGGATGTTAAATCTCCGGTAAGTGAATGGTCGAGTAACCTCATGAATTCTTATTGGTTACTCGACTATTCGATAGTCCCCAGGGGCGGGGCCGGCAGCCAGTGCACTCCGACCCCACTGCCACTCCACACCACTGCTTCTGGATCAGAGGCAGCAGCGTGGGGAGCCAGGCGGGAGCTAGTCCGCAAGGGGGGCCAGTTTAAAAACCAGCTCCCGTCACGGATCGGCTGCCTGTCACCCTGCCTCTGGTAAAGGCTCCCAAACCCGGGTCTGAGCTCCCAAATCAGGTGCGAACCAGAACTGAGACAGGCTGCCTGCCCGGCTGGCTGCTAATACACTTCCAATGCAGAGCCGCAGCGGGGGTAGGTCCCAGTGCGGTCACAAGCCAGCCCTGAGCCGTGCTGCTGGCCAGTCTGCTAAAAATGTACCAGCAAAGGGCGGGGGGAGGGAAACGCATGTCGTCTATAGCATTAACCTAGACGCTTTTGTTTATCAGTTACTTGACTTCACTCTTACATCCCTACTCTGCACCAGTCATGATTTCACAGACCTTTCTCTATCACCCCCCTTGTCTTGCTGCCCTAAAAGGGGCCTTCCGCAGTTTATTCCCTTTCCCAGAGTCGCACTTCACCTTCCCTCTGGAATAACACCCTCAACCCCATGGGGAAGGGGTGAGTTTGAAATGTCCCCGTGTAGTTAACCAGTGGGACAATTCGTGTGTGTTTAGACAAGGCCTAAGTCTCCCTGAAATCAACAGGGCAAGCCCCCCTGTTTTCATGAGTCCTGTAGAGAAATCACGGCCCGGCCGACAGTCCTGCCAGCCCAAGATCCATCTGTAAACTAGACCCAAGTGTCTAAGTCATTTCCGACAATGGGACGTAGATTCTGAGGCTACTCGGGAGTTTGAAACGGTCACCTTGGCAGCAATGGGCCCTCTAATCTTTTCCCTCCAGCTGTGGATTTTTCCTTCCAGATGCAGAATAATTTTTCATGTGCACCGAGGCCTGCGAAACCCCAAACCTAGCTAGAAACCCATAGAAACCCCAAACCTAGCTAGAAACCCATAGAAACCCCCAAACCTAGCGACGCTGCCGGGCAGCCCTGGAATCTGACCCGAGCGGCTGCACAAGTGCTTGGCTTACAGGGAACCCTGCTTGGCCGTCCTGCAATATTTCAGCATCGAGACGGTTTCCATTTCAGCTATTCCCTTCCCTTGCGAAGGCCCAGCTGCCGTTCTCCAGCCCTGTGGCTGGGACGCAGGAGGGACTCAAAGCCAGCCAGCAACCCAGACGGTGAATGAATGGAGCCCAGGGCTTGATGGAGAACAGCCTCAAAAGAAGTCCTGCTTTTAATCCGTGCAGTGGAGTATCAGAGCAGAGAGAGGGGCAGGGTGCACAGATGAGTTGCACTGTTTCAATACCGGAGGGGCAGATGTGAATCCAGACTGGGGTGGGGGGCACCGAGAAGGCTGCCTGCGATCTGGCGGGGGGAGGAATCTCACACACACAGGGAACAGGCAGGGGGCGCTGCCTTTCCGGGGTCACACCAGGGAGGGCGGCAGCAGCAGCGACATGGGGCGTCCAAGAAAGCAGGCTCGCTACTGAGGCTTGGAGGAGCCAGAGTCCTTGCTGGGTCGCTGGCTTAGAGTCTTTGAAACAACGCAGCCCCCCTAGGTCCTGCCCCAGCCGAGGGGGCTCAGTCCTTGTCAGAATCCGAGCTGGAGTCTGAATAGTCTGCCACGAGGGAGGAGCTGAGGGTGGTGGCGCTGGCGGTGCCCACGGCGGGGAGGGAGTCGCCGATGGCCGCGGGGGAGCTGGGCTGGGCCGTGCCGTCGCAGCTCGGCCGGCCCGTGTGCGTCCCGTGTGCCACGCTCTCCGGCCCCTCCCGGGATCTGCGGCGCACGATGCCCAAACGGCCGCTTGTGATGGGTGAGCCGCCAGCGGGCCCCTTGGGGGACAGGGCTTTCCCAGCGAGCCCCAGCTTCTTCAGCGTGTCGGTGGCTTTGCCGGCTGCAGCCGGAGCAGGGGGGAACCAGGAGCGGCCGGAGATCTCCGTTCGCTTCAGCTTTTGTTTGTCCTCGTAAGCTGGGAGGAGAGGGAGGGGCAGCAGGGAAGTGACGGGCCCAAGCCGCAGCACGGGGCACCCGAAAGCTCCCATGTCTCTGGCCGCGTTGGCTCAGGGCACCTGCCCTGGGGACCCGCACGACGCGCCCGTGCTGGGGAGCTCGCACTGATCTATGGGGCGCAGAGTCCCCCGTTCCCAAATGCTGCTCCCACCCCCAATCACACAACAGGAAGTGAAAACAGGAGTCCTGGCTCCTCCTCCACCCCCCTGGCCCCACCCCCCAAGCCAGGACTAGAACCCAGGAGTCCCTCAGGCCAAGGCAGGGCCCTGAATCCCGCTGTGCCCAGGGCCCCCCGGACACTCCCACAGGCAGAAGGCATCACGTACAGTCCAGGCTGTGGTACTTGAGCAGCGCGGCCAGCTGCTGCTCCTCCTCCGTCTCCTGCACCAGAGGGATGCTCAGGTTGGCCTTGGTCTGCAGAGCCAGGTCCTTCTCCTCCTCCTCCTGCAGAACCTTCTTCTCCTCCTATGCAGGGGAGGGGCAAGGTGGTGAGAGAAAAGGCCCAGACAGCAGCACCGACCGCAGCCGTGGGCAGCCTGTGGCCCAGCGGGGTTCTGTGTGTAAATTCTCCCCATTTCACATATGGGGAAACTGAGGCACGGGGTGGGAAGGGGACCCGTCCAAAATCACCCAGCAGAGCCTGGTCTCCCAAGGCGCAATCCCAGCTAGGAGCAATGCGCAGGTCTCCAGCGAGACCTCTCATTTTTCCCACCCATGTGCAGAATAAATTTTGTTCTATGCACTGAGGCATGTGTGGATGTGCACCACTAGGAGAAACGTGGGGTGCCGGCTGTGGGCGCTCTGCCAATGAGCTGGGTGGTGTCTGGCCCTCTCCTGGGGGCCACCCGAGCGCTCAGCTTATGGGGAACATGGGCCGTCTGCTTACCCGGAACTTCCTGCGCAGCATGCTGTTGATCGCAAAGTCATCCTTCCAGGCGCTCTGGGCCTCCTGGATGTGGGACAAGGTGGGGATGGCTCGCCGCAGCTTGCCCTGGTCTGCTGTGCCGTGCTCCAGCCGGTACATGGCGTCCGTCTCGAGCTTCTTCTTCTCCTCGTGTTCTGGAGACAGAGGAGCAGACACACGGACTCACCGGGGGAGCTGCCCTCCCGGCCGGCGGCCGGAGCAGGGCCTGGGCTCACCTGTCGTCAGGATCTGCTCGTTGTCCTGCATGTCCCAGCGCTCCTCCTTGCGCTGGGCCCCGCTCACGATGACGTAGTCGCAGTTGGCCGGGTCCGTCTGCATCTCGATGTAATTGACGCACAAGTGGCACTTCATCCGGAACCTGGCGCCCCAGGGGACAGGCGGGGGTCAGGGCTGGGGG